GTAGCTGTGGCTGGCTTACAGCTCACTGTGCAAATGAGGCTGGCCTCAAATTTGTGGTGATTACCTCCCCTCCCCCTCTCTGGAGCTGGGCTTATAGGTATCATCATGCCTGGCCCAAATATTTAGAGGACTGTGAACTGAAATAAGTACCTCCATTCCTCTGCTAAGTAAAATAATTTGCTGCTATCACTTCTGCAGTTAACAGATTTCAGATATCCCCCTTTTTGTTAACATTTTCCATCTATCTATCTATCTATCTATCTATCTATCTATCTATCTATCTATCTATCTATCTATCTATCGAGACAAGGCTTCTCTGTAGCTTTGGGGACTGTCCTGGAACTTGTTCTGTAGACCTGGCTGGCCTTGAACTCACAGACAGCTGCCTGCCTCTGCCTCTTGAGTGCTGGGATTAAAGATGTGTGACACCACCACCTCGGCTTACATTTTCCTACAATTTAAATTAAAGAATGTCACAGTAATATAAACATTAAGTTTACATGCAGCATATGGCATCAAAGTAACATGAGTTGTCTGTTTATTTGGCTCACTAAACTGATGCATAGGTTACCTAGGGGCATAAACGTCAGAGGCTGAGCTTTGGAGAAGGTCCCTAGACCAAGAGCAGCAAGCATTATGCTGAGAAATCAAAGGCAGGGCTTCAGCCAGCCAGTGAGAGCACCTCACCAGGATGGCTTTGAACACTGTACAATTTTCTAAACTTTAACAGAAGCTATGTAACTCATCTTACTCTGAGCAGTCAACAGAGACACTTAAATTAAAAAAAAAAGGGGGGGGTGGTCAGAGAAAACCCAAAACTATGCTGGTTGGCTTCCTGCAAACCTCTGAGCTGAGTCTAGAGTCACAGGGTGCTCCATACGCAGGTGTGACATCACATCTCTGCCAGGCGGGTCTGCAGCAGCGACGGATGGCAGACGAAAGCTGCTGGAGCAGATCTGAAGGACAGCATGCCTTACTTAGCTTGTGCTTTCCAAGTGTAAGACAGCATTTTCTGTTATAGCCAGACATGTACTCAGGTGGACCTAAATTGTTAGAAGCTGTCCTTCTGTTAGAGTCTAGGAGAGTTGCTAACAGACATAACCGGGTGTAAAAAAAACAAAAACGACTACCTTGTTTTCTGGGCTATGGGTGGATAACTGACCGTGGATGATGTCACTAATAGGCAATTATAACATCCAACATTCCAAACGTATTTAGTAATTTGTTTTGAAGAAGCACAGCTTCCAAAAGAACAAAAAGATACTCCAAATATTTATTTGGATGGCTGCATGCCGAAGTAAAGTGAAATGCATAAAGAAATTAATCCTAATTCCAAGAAGCATCAAATATTTTGCCAGGAAGTTAAATATGGAAAAGGATTCAGACATTTTTTAGTAAGGTGAGCTGGAGGTAGAGAGCACTCGCTGAGCACATGTGAGAACTCAGGGAGTTTACCAGCAGACGAATTATCTGGATCACTGGGGCACTTCCTACAGAAAGCCTACTTCCTTTAAAATGCTATAGAAGGCAGTGAGTCTCCCAGGGTAACACAGAACTAGAGGAAATATTAAATGCATGTATAACATGATGCTGGAAGAATATAAAATCTACAGAACCACAGATCCCACGTCCCAGGCCTATCCATGCCTACCTGCACCAGAATTTCCACAATGTGCTCCCACAGTCTCTAGTCAGAGTAGCTCTCTGGGCCATTGTGGGCCATTGTGTGTGAAGACTGAGCCATGAAGCAGTCTAAGAAAACACTTCTTCCAGGTACATAACTCTCAGACAGAGCTGTCATTCACCTGAAAGGTGCTATAGAAAGGACTGACAGGGCAGAGACTAGGCCAGTCAGGAGAAAGGCTTTGGAATCTTCATGATTTTAGAATGGCCACAATAGGTGGTCATTACGCAAAGCAGAGAAGATGCTATCAACAAATGATTCAGAATGTTCTACAATTGTAAGGGGCTTACCAACATTAGAAGCTCAGATGTTACTATAATTAAATAAATATCAATATGATAGAGTAACATGTGACTTGAAGATGGTAACAATGAGTTTGAGAACCCCAAATTCATTGCTTATGATATTTAATTATATCCTAGGATAATTCTTTAAATTTTCTTTTTCCTAATGTGCATTGTTGAAATAGTGGCACAAATCTTACAGAGGTAACCGACTGTTCTAGATAGTTTTATGTCAACTTCACACAGGCTGAAATTATCTCAGAGGAGGGAACCTCAACTAAGAAAATGCTTCCAAGGTTGGAGAACTGGCTGCTCCTGCAGAGGACTGAGGTTTGATTCTCAGCACCTACATGGCAGCTCACAAACTGTCTGTAACACTAGTTCCAGAGGATCTGATGCCTGCTTCTGACATCCTTGGGCACATGGTACATACAGATCCATGCAGGCAAAAACACTTATATTCATCAAACAATAAATGAAACAAATTAAAAAAAAAAAAAAGAAACGACTTCTATAAAATAGGGCTGCAGGCAAGCCTGCAGGGCATTTTGTTCATTAGTGATTGACAGGGGAGTGCCAGCCCATTGTGGGTGGGGCTAGTGGTCCTGGGTTCTATAAGAAAGCAGACTGAACAAACAAGCCATGGGAACAAGCCAGTAAGGAGCACCCCTTCATGGCCTCTGCATCAGTTCCTGCCTCCAGGATCCTGTCCTGCTTGAGTTCCTGCCCTCACTGCTTTGGATGATGAAATGTTATATAGACCTGTTACTGAAATAAAGCCTTTCCTCCCCACTGTGCTCTTGAACATTGCATTTCATCACAGCAATAGTAACCCCAACTAAGACAGCAACTGTATTCTGACTAGATTTGAGGCCTGCTCCACAGAAGAAATCCATGCCTGGTGCTGCCAACCTTGCCAGGGATCCTGCTGCTTTCATTCTGCTAAGCAGACGATGTCAAGCTGACTTCTAAACACAAACGTCCTCCCTGTAGGCAACTGCCACCCTGGGTAAGAGAAGCTTTTATCAGCAGAAATGAAGGCAGACACACAGGACTGGTCAGTGTGCTGAGAACACGTGACTCTTGGGTGCTCAGCTCTAGCTGGAACTTTCACATCACCCACCAACACTCACGGATGAGGAGACAGAAAGAGCCTACGAGTCGGGGGAATGGGAAGAGTGCTGAACTTAAAGCAGCTGGGGCTATCTGCACAGGCAGGAACGAGACCAAGTCAATAACAAGGTAAGTGAACATTCCAGAGGGCAGAACTAATTGGAATCCGTGGTTACATAAAAAAAGATGGGAGAGGGAGCTATCAGGGTAGGAAGGTAGGAAGGCAGAGTATGGGGGTAGGAAGGCAGAGTATGGGGGTATCTGAGGGCAGCAGGGGTAGGGATCAAGGGGTGAATATGACCAAGATACACTGTATATATTCATGAGTTTGTCAAAGAATAAATTAAAAATACTTAACAAAGTAAAAATGTCTTCCTTTTAATTTACATGTTAAAAGGAATACTGGTGAAGCAAGAACCACGGTTTGGCCAGGTCTATGCACAGCTACATCTCCCTATCCAAAACTGTTCAGGATAAGGCGCCACAATATTTAGCAGAACAAGTTTGCTTACAATAGCACTAAGAAGTTTTGGTTAGAGACAAAGGGTCCCAGGCTGGTCTCAAACTAACCACGTAAAGGGTGATGGCTTTGAACTCTTATCTTCCTGCTCCAGCTCATAAGTGCTGGAAAAAGCATTAACACTTGATAATTTAAACAGTTTTGCTTATTTCAACACTCAGGAAGCAGAGGCAGGAGGATCTCTGTGAATTTTGGGCTAGTCTGGTCTACATACATAGAGTTCTAGGTCAGTCAGGGCGACATAGTGAGACCGTCTCAAAGGGGAAAAAAAGTTTTAACTCTTATAAAACGTCTTTTCATTAAATTAGATTTTCATCTAAATACCCTATTTAATATAAGGTTTTTTTTTTTTTTCTATTAAACACTGCCTGGCCCGGCTAGTTCCAGCTTCTTATTGGCTAGCTCTTACATATTGTTCTAACCCATTTCTAATATTCTGTGTAGCCCACGAGCTGGCTTACCAGGGAGGATCTTAACCTGCGTCTGTCTGGAGCGGGAGAATCATGGCGACTCCCTGACTCAGCTTCTTTTTCTATAAGGGATTTTTTTTAAACAGTCATAATTTAGAAGAACTGCAGAAAACAGATCTTCAGTTACAAGGTCAGGAGGTAACACACATACAATATTTAAAAGTTTTGTTTTTTCTATTTCCCTTTATTATGACTTAAATGGTCAGATTTCATCACCTAGTTCCAAGATGCTGGGTGTGCTGGGGAGTCAGTTGGCTGGGGTGAGCGGAGCTGGGTGACAGGATTTCCCTCTGCACTAGGCCTCTGCTCACACCAGAGGGTTAAAAACTCACACTCAAGAGTTATTTCTACAAATGTTGCTATCCTTAAGCAATTTTAAGTTAAAATAGTATTCAAAGAGGCAAAAATAATAGTATTACCAAGATGTATTAGTTTATAGAAATGAGCAAACTTATATAAATGTTAACAACAATTATTTTTTTTACTGGAGACTTCACTTAGCACACATGTATCTAGAAGACATACTGTTCTTATCCATTTTCTCTTAATTTCAATAAAATAGTAATCAGTAAAGGTGCTTAGTTATTTTGATTGTCAATTATGTTCCTCTGGGGATACAGCACTCAACTGCCTATCTTCTTTCTTTTTGGTTTTTCAAGACAGAATTTCTCTGTGTAGCCCTGGCTGTCCTGCAACTCAGTTTGTAGACCAAGGTGGCCTCAATATCACAGAGATCCACCTGCCTCTGCCTCCTGAGTGCTGGGGTAAAAGGCGTGCGCCACCACCGACTGGCTTTTCAAATGCCAGTTTTACTTTATAGTTCAAGAAGGAGCAGTCCTGGCTTAAAAATGAAAATCTGAGATAAAAGCATAAAACGTTTTCTTTTTATTTGTTATTATACGAAGCAGGTGACGTTGCGGTGTCCTCACCTTCCTCTCGTGGCCTTCTGCAGGACCTTCATGCCCGCCATGGCACAGGACCTCCCCTCTAACTCTGTGTTCTTCCAGAGGCTGCCGTCCAGGTACACTTCCCCGAACATCCCGCAGGCATCCTGCACTAGCAGGCAGCTCCTGCAAAGAAGAGCATATTTATGTTCTAAGTCAGAGAACCAAGACGATCCCTGTCTTCCCCGAAACTCCACCGCAGTCGCCTTCCTCATGGTGAATAAGGGCAAATGAAGTTGGGTTCAAGAACGTGTGTGTGTGTGTGTGTGTACACATGCAGTATGTTAGGGGCAATTGCACGTCACAGCATGTGCGCGAGGGTCAGAAGACAACTTGTGGGAGGCAGTTCTCTCCTTTCACCGTGTTGGTCCTGGAGACTGAACTCAAATTGTCAGGCTCTGCAGCAGAACTGTGTTGAAACATCCTGAACTGTGTTTTGATTTTGTACATGCAAGTATTCAGATCACTAGCCACGCAATACTGGAGACAAAATTATATTTCAGCATGCAGCCCTCAGCCATTGTGATGGAAAACATGATAAAGATGACTACACTCTCAACTAAATGCATCACTGCTGCCCAGAAACAAAGGCTCCTCTTTCCCTGCTTCTGTTCTCTTCCCCGAGTGGATGCTCAACACCTAAAAGCTTCAGTGCACAATTCTGAGAAGCATAGAGAGCTTCCCCCGAGAAGGCACAAAAGTCACAGACATGCACATTCCCAAAAGATAAAAATCACTGTCCACCTTAGCTAGGTTTCTACTGATGTGATGAGACATCATGACCAAATTCAAGTGGGACAGGAAAGAACTTATTTCACCTTACATTTCCGGATCATAATCTACCATGGAAAGAAGTCAGGGCAGGAACTCCAGACAGGGGCCTGGAGGCAGGAACTGAAGTGGAGGCCATGGAGGAGCACTGTCCACTGGGATACAGATTATTGAAACTTGCCAGTTAATAAGCAGAATTTCAGTAGTAACTCATGTCTGGAATTCTAGCACTCAGGAGGCTCAAGGCAAGGCTAGAAGAAGTTACAGGCCAGCCTGCGCTACAGAGTGAGATGCTGATTAAAAAACTTCCAGCACTTGGGAAGTAAAAGCAGGAGGGTCAGGAGTTCTAGCCCAGCTTTGTCTACTTCAGAACTTGTCTCAAAAGAAAAAACTAAAAAGAAATAAAAAATCAAGGGAGTAAATACACATTTTAAGAAAGAGTGTATTATTTTTTTTAAATTTATTTTTATTTTATGTGCACTAGTGTTTTGCCTTCATATGTGCCTATGTGAGTGTATCAGACCCCCTGGAAATGGAGTTGGAGACGGTTGTGAGCTGCCATGTGAGTGCTGGGAACTGAACCCGGGTCCTCTGGAAGAACAGCCACTGCTTTTAACTGCTGAGCCATCTCTCAAGTCCCCATTGTTAAGAGTGGAAACTCACCAATACTGGTCAAAATGTTTAATTATCAGGATGATGTTTAATTTTAAATCCTTATACTCTTAATAGCCTCAGAATATACAAAATGTAAACTACAAAAAATTACAGAGACATTAGCAAATCCACATTTATTTTAACACACTTCTTCCAGTTACTGAAAGGCCAAGAGAAGATAAAGCAAAAATTAAAAAAAACCTTTTTATATACCCAATAAGTCTGATTTACTGGATGAACATCTGAAAACTTCCCACAGTAAAAAAAAAAGTGCTTTCTTAGGCATGAAGATTTAATTAAAAACTGACCATGCCACTGGCTTGCAAGACTCAATGAGTTTCAAATAAATTTATAAAGGCCACAACCTGTCTCTGATATAATTAAATGAGAAACCAAGCAAATAATAAACATTTAAAAAAATCTTACATTTATAAATTTTAGTTTGTTAAAAAGGTAGGATATTTATTTAAGAAGTAGTTATTGCTACCATTATTACTGTATGAATGTGTGTGCGCGCGCACGTGCGTGCGTGCATGCGTGTGTGTGTGTGTGTGTGTGTGTGTGTGTGTGTGTGTGTGTGTGTGTGTAGCAGCGATCCTACCATGGTGCGAATGTGTAGGTCAGAGGACAACTTTGGGAAGTCAGTTCTCTCTTCCACCTGGGTTGAACACAGGTCACTACGCTTGTGTATGCAAGAGTCTTTACCTACCGAGCTATCTTGCCAGTGAGTGAGGTCCTTACTTAGCCTATGTTGATTTCAAACTCACTGTGTCGTCAATGAAATTCTGATCTTCCTGACACCACCGCTCAAAGTGCTGGAATTACAGATACACACTACCATACTAGCTTTGGAAATTATACTTCTCATTACTTGTTTGTGTATTATAATATTTTGTTATACTATTTTTATATCATATATACCTGTCTCCATAGAGTACATGATGGATGGAATTCAAGATTCTCCTCTGTCTACCTCCCAAGACGTGGGATTACAAGTATGAGCCATAATGACCAACTGTTTCTGGATACCATAATATCCTTTAAACCCACAAGTCAAACAGGAAATTATAATTAGAAAGAAAATACTATGATCTACTTGATAAAAAATGAAGCATTTATAAATGTTAGAGAAATAACAGTATTCCATAATAAAACTGTATTTTTCTATTTTATTTATTTATTTGTTTGCTTGTTTATTTATTGTGGTAGTGGGAATTTAAGCTAGGATCTTGCACCTGCCAGCTCTTCCGTAGGCTGCTGCACCCCACCAGCCCAGTCCTAAAGCAGCTCTCCTGGAGGCCTCTCTGGGACAGTGCACATCTGCCAGTGACTACACCTGGGCTGTGCCAATCATTCTGTCACAAAATCTGGGGGTTCATTTTGCTGCTTTGCTACATGGGACCTCTTATTTCCTACAGTATATACATTTCCTTCCTGTTTTTTAAATTTTATCTATTAGTGTGTGTGCACCCACATGTATGTATGTGGAGTCAGAGGAAAACTTGGTGGAGTTCTTTCTGTCCTCCCACTTTTATGTGGGTTCTGGGGATTGAACTCAGCCATTAAGCTTGCTGAACAAGGGCTTTGCTCATGGAGTCACCTCACTGGCCCCATAGAGTAGTATATATATAACTTTAAGTATTAGTGTGTGTGAGGCTCTTTCCCTCTTAATACTTTCTGAACTCAGGAGCACTCATTTTGCAGATTCCCGGAAAGGGAGAAGTAGAAGGAGACATGTTGGAAATCGTTCATGAAGTTGTTGATCCTCTGTGCTCTAAACATCTCGGTCCACTGAGATGGCTATCTCAATTAGATCCAGTTTTCCACTGCAAGTCCAATCATGCTTGCTCTACCCCTTACTTCCCGTTATTGTCAGCACCTGTGAGGGTAAGAATGGCACTCTCTGCTAGAAGCCACTGACAGGCCTCCTCACTTCCCAGCTACCCCCTCTCTACTTCGTCTGAAGATGTACTTCTAAGCAGAGCCATGGGCACGGGGGTGGACGGAGGTCTGTGGCCAGGCTATATTTCCTGAGAAGGTCCTAGGCTTTCCTATAGGGAGATAGGAGTGAAACTGGTCCTCTGCAAATGATGGCATTAAGGCCTGTCAAATGTCACTGTTTTAAAAGTTAGGATTAAAAAACGCTATGAAACCCAATATAAAGTTCTTCTTTCTTGGCTGTACTAAGAAGGGAGAGGTGGGGAACTGATACCACTATTTCCCGGTTTGCTTGACTATTGCTTTTATCTCAAATACTGAAGGGAGCTGGAGGCTACTTTTGTTTGTTATTTTGCCCTAGGGCAAGTGGTCCTGGATGTGCAGGCTGAGGAAGCCAGTAAGCAGTGTTGCTTCCCAGCCTCTGACTCCAAGTTGCTCCTTGAGTTACCGCCCTGGGTTCACGCTGGCTGGATAGACTTTCCCATGCTCTCCAAACAGAGCGGAGGCTAGTGACATGCTGGCTCATGCCTACGGTGGTTTCCAGCAAACTGGTTAGCCTACAGCAGCACACAGAGAACTCCATCTGCCTGGTGAAACACTAGCTCCTAAAACAGTGCTGGCGCAGGTCTCTGCAGAAAAACTGCATGAGCCACTTGCTTTCCTAAGCCACCAGAAACACTGAAGGAAACCCAAATGGTTTCCAGCAAAGCAGCAACCTGTCAGAAATTGAGGACCTTGCAAGAATTACTTACCTATATGAGCCTGAGTTTCCTCATTTTTACATGGAAATCCTGGAAAACTAATGCAGAGAGCCGTGACAAGGACTAAAGTGATCCACACAGCGCAGGGCTGGTTCAGTGAATGGCACAGCACACAAGCCTTTCTTAGGTGGGTACATTTGATATCAAAGTTTAAAAAGAATATTTTTTCCTAAAACATTCTTGCACATGTCACATTGGGCAAACAATCATATCTTCTATGGGTCTACTTGTACTATATGATAATTTATCAGATATTGCTGGCTTATAAAAATACAGTTAACCTACTTGAAAATATTAAAAAGCATTATCTTTAAAAAAAATACAGTTAACCTGTATATTGATCTTCTGCCACCGATCACCTTTATTGATTTTCCTTGTTTGTATCATGGAATCTCTTCTTAATTTCAGTTTTGCTTTTTCGCTTCCAATTCTGTTTGTTTTGCTTTGAAACAGTGTCAACAAAAAATCCTAAAAAGAAGAAGTGTCTGGATGTGAACAAAACACTCTTGGAAGGAGTCTGTGCCTGTAGAGACTGGCGGACTATTGGAATCTTGGTGCCATGGAGAGATTGGGACCTGGGAGTTTCAGAAGCTATTTCCTTTATCTTGGGCTAGTGTTAGCCTTCTGGAACAGCCGTGCCTTGCCTGTATCTGTGTCTGAACTAACCCCTCATGATAATAAGCAATAAACAGCTCTTAGCTTTAGCAGAACACTAGTTTCCACCATTCCAAGAGCTAAGAATGTCATCATATAACATCCTAGGCCTCTCCACTCATCGTGTTGGATCCACCTCTCTGATGTATCCGCCAATATATTTTAAACTTGTCTTGATTTATGACTTCCTCTGTTCCATCAAACTATAAAAACTTCATGAAACTGCTTCCACATTAGAACATGGAATTACAGTAACCTACATCCATGTTCCCAGGGCCATGGTCACTCATAAAGGCTCTAGCAAAATAAATTATCTCTTCCTCTCTTTAAGATGAGAGCTGTGGCGGG